TATCACGAGAAAATGATTGGACACCATCTATTCATAGAAATAAAAGATTATTTTCTCATCAACAACGTACAAAGGCAACTTAAGACTAGGAGATGTAGAATCTGGTGATTTAAAGGCTTTTGTTAAAAAAAACTCCTCGATCCTCATGATGCAATTTCCAGAAAGATACTGCAGTGGTGGGGCAAATAAAATCGCCGATTTCCGTCGTGAGTGGCTACGTCAGCATCGTGCGCGCTTGAACTGGCGAGCCATAATCAATCCGTGTTATGACAAAATGGCCTGGGGAAAAGTAAAGCATGGCTTGGAAAAAGCTAACAGAACCAACATCTCTACAAGTGAGATCATATGTCAGGAAATCAGGCCAGCAGGAGAGGATAGTAAGATTTTCATCCAATCAAAGCGAAAGTAATTGGCGGAGACACCCGGAGGGTCCACGTAAGTGGCCCATCGAGCATTGCGGCGTCTGTTTTTGATTACAATAATGGAACTTACGAAGCTCTGTTTCTTATCATGGAGCCTGGTATCGATCAGCTGTTGATTCACCTGGATTATAGTCTGTACGATAGATTCAAGGACTCTCTCCACGTGACTGGTTCATTTTGGGGAATTTTCATGGGAGATTTCAGCGGGAGTGTCTTCTTGGCCCTCTGGTTGATTACTTGGCACAGCCCCTTCACAGCGGAAGACATCTCGAGATAAACGTAAAAACAGCAGATATGAACCTGTCATTAGCTGGTAAGTAAGCTGAGAGCCATTACGGCCAACGCTTTGTAAAAAGGAATTGTGTCGCTCCGAGCGCGTAGTGTAATCACAGCAGCCAGCCAGATGAATGGAAACTTCAAGAGGGGAATGTAAAAACACAAAAACAGCCTCAAGTGCTGGAAAATGCTATCAGACAATTCACGATTGGTTTGAGTGTTAGATAATTGGTTGAGAAAGAGACAATCAATCTCGTAGTGTGGTAAGTCAAAACCAAGATAATCTGGGATAACTCTCCAAACTCACATAAAAACTGCAACTTGAAATGCAGCGAGCGTATGGTCATAGCCAATACCAGCTGAAGAAACTGCTAATAAATAAGTAATACCCTTATCGCTGAATTGAGTTCCCTCGGGTAGGTTTATTAATTCGTGATTTCATACGATTCGAGGCGATTGCCTATGTTTTATATCAAGGCCTGTACTTGCTTATTGAAAGGAAACTTCGTTTTTAACCTTATGTACGGCAAATTTAGATTTGATGGTGACTTCTTTGTTCGTAATTTGGATGCCAGAGTAGAGAGGAGTGCCAGGATTGTTTTTTTTTTTCCTGACAAACTGTGGTGCCATTTCTCTCTTCTTTCCCCCTGATTTTTCTTTTTNTTCTAACGATAAAAGATCCGATAAAAATACAATAGTTTACTCACGTAGTGAACACTCCGTCAACTCGCCATGTTTCCTGCATCAGACAGCCATGCTACGGTGGGAACCTTGCTCGAACTGTAAGTAGTGACGTCACCGGAAGTAATCTTTCACACTTTTGCCGTACCAGAGCCTCGCCGTAGTGGATCTTAAAGTCTCTATTAATTGGGCGACCGCTGACACAATAATATATGTCATGAAATGTAAATAAGCAATTCTTGCAAGCGAATGACATATTAAAGTGAAGTCTCCTTTCGTCGAATCTCCCATGGCAATCGGGAAAGCAATGGAGATTCCTAGTAAGTTGAGTATATCTTCGGTCAAGTCTTTTGGTATTAAATTATGAAGGAGTGTGCGTGTGTGTGTGTTAGGCAGTAGCTGTTTCTTGAAGCGTAACGAATTAAATGGGCTTTACCCGGTTGTCACAAACACGGTTTACGTATGATGCACGATCCTCGCAGTAGATAGCGCTATTTATGCAATAACGAAAATCAGATCTGAAAAAAATCAGGCCTGTACGGGATTCGAACCACTAACCTCTGCGATACTAGTGCAGCGCTCTACCAATTGAGCTAACAAGCCAACTGGGAGCAGGCCGTTAAGTTGATTCGTAATAAACCCGTGAAAGTATATTCATTATATCTGATATTCATTGTATCTGACAAACACGGTTTCTCTCTTATTTCACGTTAAGCGCTTTGAGCGAAAAGAACTGCGAGAAAAAGGCGGATAAAGTGCGTATCTTTGTTGAGATGAGATAAACAGTAACACAGCATCAATAATAAAGCGCTTAGCCACATACAAGAGAAGAGAGGGAACTTAATGTAAGGGTTGAATGTGCCGTCGAGTTGAATGTATCACACGTGATAAACGAAACGTATGAACGGGAACCAAGACGATCCAAATATCCGGCTGCTGGAAAAAATTCGAGCGTCGCAGCGACATAAACACTCGCCAAATTACAAGCATGCCCTGGGTGAAATGCTGTCTACAAACATTCATAATTTGAGTGCTGTAAGCAAATTATTCCACAGCGAAGCCTTTCAAGATGAATATACAAATAAATTTCCTGCACGCAACCGCTTGTTTCAATTTTATCTGAACAAGAAATTCAGTCAAAATTGTGAATCGGTGTGTTTTTTTTTTATATTTAACAATTATTCGCCGAAGGTGAGGTGAATATCGTCGAATAATCCCCGAGACGAAGTCGAGGGGATTATTCGACAATATTCACCGAACCTGAGGCGAATAATTGTTTTAGTATAATTTCAGAGCTGAACAATAGAGAAATTCAAAAATCGCTGTGCTCCTCCCAATATTTCTGAACTTTTTACTCACTGCGGGCTACAAAAGCCTTTATTTCTTTCATTTTAAAAAATAAAGTCAATGTTGTTGTTATAAGGAACCACTTGAACTCTTTGTTCAGCTCTGAAATTATACTAAATATATATGTAGGCAAACAGGTCTAAATTTTTCTAGAAATCAAAGGAACAAATATGGCACCCAAACGTGTGATTCTTTGTCGCCAGAAGTCTTTTTTTTTTTCTTTTCTTTTTTTACCCTTTGACTAGAGTCACTCAATTTTTCATTTCTTTCTCTTCTCGTCTGTCAATTTTAATGCCTCCTGCAATTCCTTTGTTATCCACCAACAATAGTCGTTTCTCAACTTCAGTTCGAATCTTTTTTTCCGGCCAGTGATGTTGAAGTGGTGGAAGGTAATTGCAGTTTTTGAGGCCACTGCCTCGTATAGGTGGTTTGCAACTAATCTCTAGAGACACAGGTAACAATAGTGAAAGAAACAAATACTGGTGGACGAACAAAAAGAGCTAATAAGCTATCTATTGTTTACGTCCACCAACATGGCGGCAATGACGTAACGTGCAAACCACGAAGTCACACATATACGTTGTGGAAATGAGTGAGTGTAGCGGTAGAATTCTGATCTCGACCCAACTTTGACCCGATGTTTCTCAGTGCTTCTCTTTGTTTACTTTTGAAGTATCTTGGTAATTCGACATTCGCACTTGATACACAGTTGAGTCCTCTCCTTTTGTGATTTCTGGATTACATTCACTAGCACAATATGTTTTTAGTTCTTGCCGTGACACTATGGAAGAAAGCAGAAAGCGATAAACATCTCACAATCATTTCAGAATTGTGCGCGATTAAAAACAAAAAATTTTCCATACAGAATTATCTTTTCAGGTGTGGTCCGTGCATCGTAAAACTCTGGGGAAATTTTTTTAGTTGGAAGAGAGAGCATTTTACCGTATAAATCAGAAAATTATGTAGATCCGACGACATAATCTTTTTAGTTCTTGCCGTACTGTGACGCTACAAAGACGATAAACATTTCAAAATAATTTCACAGTAGCATTCACCAAGGCACAATTGAAATCAAAACTTTTCCTAAAAGAAATATCTCAGTACACGTCTTCTGCACATTATGTGAACTCTTAGGAAATTTTTTTCTTTGAAAAGAGAGTATTTTACAGTTTAAATCAGCGACTTTAGCCGGAAACGGCGGCTAAATTTGCGAGGCGAGCAATCTGCGTTTTACGATACATTTTTCTCATTAGACGTTTTGTTGTGTAGTATCGCTGAGTATTTTTATGAGTTGTGCCGTATTTTGACGAGCCCGTATCGCCGAGTATTTTTACGAGTTGTGCCGTAAATACTCAGCGATACTACACAACAAAACGTCTAATAAGTTATTTATTATCCAACACGCACAATTGTTATTTCAGTGCGGGCGAATTTCGCGGATGATTATTTACGGGGAGTGTGTGACAGAAGTATGCGAAGCGGAACGGAATTGGCGCGTTGTTGTGCTGCTGTTTCTATTTTCTTCATTAAATGAAGAAATTTCTGGTTGTCAAGCAGTTCTTCTTCGTTCGATTGATCTAATGAACTTGAATCTATATTTGCCAGTCATTCTGACTTTTCGTCGTCGGAAATATGATTCAAATTGTCCTTCACCTTGTTTTTTTTTTTTCGTAACTACAATCCAATTCTTCGC